AAAAAAAAAAAAAAAAGCCCGAGCTGTAGTAGTGTCCTTGGCCTGGGAGGTGGGCCACATACCTGTGCATTGTACCGTTACGGGGGGACTGCCAACCCTTTCTCCCCCTCCCTGAATTTAACTGAGTTTCTCTCTCATGTGGGGTTATAGTTGTTAATCTACAACTTCAACTTAGTACTGAGTACTGCTTTTCCACACTTGTGACTATTTAGGAAAATGTTCTCTAAATCCTTCCAGGTAAATACAAAAGATGCAAAATCTTCATGTTTTTATGGCTGAATAGTATTCCATGGTGCATGTACAAAATCACAGTTTATAATCCACTTGTGTTGCTGGGCACCTGGGTGGTTTCCACATCTTTGCAGTTGAGAATTACACTGCTATAAACTTTTAAGTGGAACTGTTCTTATGGTAAAGACTATTTTTCTTTTAGGAGTTGCCTACTTTTTGAAAAGACTATTATTTTCTGATTGAATTGCTTTGTTACCTTTGTTAGAAAAACAGTTGGCTGTGGAGGGAAGGGTTTGCTCACTTCTGGGCTCCAAATTCTGTGTTCCTGGTCTGTATGTCTGTTCTTAACCAGTATGACCAATCTTGATTTCTGTAGCTTTGTAGTAAGATTCAAAGTTGGGAGTGGTGAGTCTTCCAACTTTGTTGTTCCTTTTCAAGTTTGTTTTGGCTATTTTGGATTCTTTACATTTTCTTACAAATTTTAGAATCAACTTGTCAGCTTCTGCCAAAAAAACCCAGCTGGGGTTTTGGCAGGGATTGGCACTAATTAAGCAGATAGGTTTCGAGGGTTGTAGTGTCTTCACAATATTGAGTCTGCTAGTCCATGAATTGAGGATGTCTGTCTGTCTGTTTCTTCCTTCCCTCCTTCCCTCCCTTCCCCCTTTTTTTGATACGGAGTCTCAGTCTGTTACCCAGGCAGGCTATAGTGCTATGGCATCATAGCTCACAGCAACCTCAAATTCCTGGGCTCAGGTGATATTTCCTCTCAGCCTTCCAAGTTACTGGGACTACAGGCACCCACCATAGCGCCTGACTGTTCTATTTTTAGTAGAGCTGGATCTTCCTCTTGATATTTTTTTTTTTTTGAGACAGAGTCTCACTATGTTGCCCTGGGTAGAGTACAATGGTATCATAGTTCACAGCAACCTCAAACTCTTGGGCTTAAGCAATTCTCAGCTTCCCAAGGAGCTGGAACTACAGGTGCCTGCCACAACACCCAGCTATTTTTTTGTTGCATTTGTCATTGTTGTTTAGCTGGCCTGGGCTGGGTTTGAACCCACCAACCTTGGTGTATGTGGCTGGTGCCGTAACTGCTGCGCTACAGGCACCAAGCCTGTTTTGTTAATTTTAGTTATGGATTGTTCTAGTGACTTTTTAACAGAGTGATGTTCATACTTTGTTACTTGATTTTTCTTTTTTCCTCTTATAGACTCATCAATCTCAAATAATTCTACAAGTAAAAAAAAGTCTGAGTCGACTGCTTGCAAGTTCGTCAGAGACCCAAGCAAGGTGGGGCTTGGCCGTGACGCTGCAGCTTCCTCTCCACTGCTTGTCAGAGATGTCATTTGTGAGGATGATAAGGGAAAAATCATGGAAGAAGTAATGAGAACTTACGTAAAACAACAGGAAAAACTGAACTCAATTTTGCAAAAAAAGCAACAACTTCAGATGGTAAAATCATTATCTAAATGATAGTCCATTATGAAAAGATACTTTTACATGCTAGTAAGAAAAATCAAGATGAAATGCTATAGATGTTCTTCACATTATTTAGCCTTTTATACTGATAGACAGTTTTAAATTTTTAGAGGAAATAGTTTTTTAGGATAATTACTTCTCTGTAGAACTGGTACAGTAGCTGACTTTTAATTATTGTCTGTCCTGTTTTTTTCCTGAATTGAAATTTGTAACATGATGGAAATAAAGTGAAAATCACACTGTGATTCTTTACAGGAAGTGGAAATGTTGGGCAGCTCACGGGCTATGAAGGAGCTGACTGAGGAGCAGCAGAATTTGCAGAGAGAGCTTGAATCATTGCAGAATGAACATGCTCAAAGAATGGAAGAATTTTATGTTGAACAGAAAGATTTAGAGAAAAAATTGGAACAAGTAATGAAGCAAAAATGCTCCTGTGACTCGAATTTGGAAAAAGATAAGGAGGCGGAGTACGCAGCCCAGGTAAGGGTCACAGGGTCGCAGGGTCACAGGCACTGCTTGTAGCTGGGTGCCCGTCACTGCTCTGTTGGTCAGACTCACCATACTTTTAAATGCAACTTTGCAAAGCTTCATCTTCTAAGATTTTTTGACCTCTATTGCTTTATTACTTTAAGTTTTTATTGGGTTTCTATAATTCAGTTACCTGCATTGCTAGTCTCTAGTTCTCTGAATTTCAAATGTCATGTTATTTTGTTATTATATCACATGTTATGTATGGGCTTTCAAATCTCAGTTTAAGAGACATGAACTGTCACCCATTATGTTCAGAAGTACTGGATGAAAAGCAAACACCTCGGCTCGGCGCCTATAGCTCAGCTGGCTAAGGCGCCAGCCATGTATACCTAAGGTGGCGGGTTCGAATCCCCAGCCCGGACCCGCCAAACAATGACGGCTGCAACCAAAAAATAGCCGGGCGTTGTGGCGGGCGCCTGTGGTCCCAGCTACTTAGGAGGCTGAGGCAGGAGACTTGCTTGAGCTCAGGAGTTGGAGGTTGCTGTGAGCTGTAATGCCACGGCACTCTACCCAGGGGGACAGCTTGAGGCTCTGTCTCAAAAAAAAAAAAAAAAAAGAAAGCAAACACCTCCCTTTTGTACGAGTAGCTAGAGGTTTAAGGGAGGCAGGTAGGTAGCTTGCAATGCCTGGCTCTGGCCGCAGAGGTCACTCCTCCTGGCCCTGCTTTGCTCTCAGAGTAACGTCCTATCAGATGTCAAATGAATAGTATACATGATACAAACAAATAGTATACATTAATTAGTTCATTTTATAAAAATTAATGTGAAAATAAGTCTTTGCCTTGACATGAAGACTAAATGAGAACATGCAACTGAAAACTGGCCTGGTCTTTTCATCACACAGTTGGCGGAGCTGAGGCAGAGACTGGACCACGCCGAGGCCGACAGGCAGGAACTCCAGGACGAGCTCAGACAGGAGCGGGAGGCAAGGCAGAAGTTAGAGATGATGATAAAGGAGCTCAAGCTGCAAATTCTGAAATCATCAAAGACTGCTAAAGAATAGAGATTGATCTGCGTGTCACTGACGGGTCTTTGGTTTGCTGCTTGCTTTGGGCGTTGATTCTGAACAACTGTCTGCATGAAGACGAGGCATTCTGACGTTTGTAGATAGAGAAAGCGAAGAGATTATATATTAGTACATAAATTTTTACATTTTCCAAACAAATGAAAATGTGTTTCTTTGTACTTTTTTTTAAAAATCAGCTCAGTAATAATACTTATATGTATGGTTTCAACTAGTAGATAATCTGCTTATATTTCTAATGCAAACTTAACCAATTGTATACTTTTTAAAAGTTGCAGTATGTGATGGAAAATAGCTGTGGTTAATTTTACTATCCATATTTCTGACTTAATTTTAGATAAAATGGTTGCTTCATATTTCAAATATATTCCAGAGCTACTTAAGGAGTTGAATCTCCATTTTTCTTGTTAATACAAGTCCTTTCTAAGTTGATGTAGTATACTCGTTACTGTCTGCAGAATTTTCTTCACTTTGTTCAGATTTTGGACTGAATTTCCACCAATTCTTCTGATGCCTCCTAAGAGGAATTTCATTGAGGTTACCGTGCTCTCCGGGGGCACAGTGGGGACACATCACAGGCATTGCCGCGCCTTGCCGGCCAACACAAGATGCAGCTGTAACTTGTTTCCCAGTTTAAATGTGGTTGTATTTAGAGGACTTTTTATGCAGCAGCTTCAGTAATTTGTTAGTAGAGGTGTGAAGACATTGCTGCTGGTGAGGAAGATGGACACCGCGACGTCCACCAGTCTCCGCTCTGTGACCCCTGTGCAGTTTGTGTGTAGTTTATGGGGCTTAACCGAAATTTTTATAATGGATTTGTTTTCCTTTAAGTTGTAAAATACTAAACACCGTGAAGGTTATTTTGGACTTCTGTATGTTTAAATGTGTAGTCTTACCAAAATTTGCACAAACGGACCATTTTCAATTATACTTAATATCAAAATCAAGAATTTATTGTTAACTTACAGTGTGTGATAAGTGAATATAGGACAGCTTGGTTATCTGCTACTGAAAGCCTTTCAGATAATTTTTAAAAGACAAAGGAATTCTATAATTTGGAAAGGGGCCACATTTTCTGCACTTAACTTTTTGCACAGAAAAGTCTGTAATCTCTAACGGCAATTTCATATTAGTAATTCTTGGCTTTAGCAGATAGTAGGTAAAATTCTGAGTATGCATTTTTAAAGGACTTTCCTGAAACTACCATTAATTGACATTATTATACCATGAACTTTTGTTTTTTATGTTCTTTTATAAGGTACTGTGTGGAGTTACTTAAGAGAACCAAATTTATTTTAAAAATAAATTAGCTAGGGTTAAGGTTATATGCTATTTCTACCATGAAAGGTCAATACTCTGATGGTATAGAACTTTGAAAAGTAACTAAGTTATCATATAATCAGTTATTTTTTATATTTTGCTTAATGGTACTCATAGATCCAAAAAGAATTTTTGTGCTTCTCCAAGTGTAGTTTCCTTATTACTAAATTGAATATGATTTAAATATGTATTTTTTGTTTTCCATTGTAAATTTAAAAGTGTCACGTAACTTTTTGGTATAGTTAAATGTTATTAACTCTGTGATTTAATTTGTTGATTCTTGGAATCGCCTCAAGAAGGAACAATGTACAGGGCAGAAAGACATAGTTAAGATGACACACCCTCCCAATGTCATTTATATAGATCTAGAGCAGTGGTTCTCAACCTTCCTAATGCTGTGAGCCTTTAATACAGTTCCTGTGAGTTGCCACCCGCAAGTTGAGAACCGCTCATCTAGAGAAAGAAGAATCACGGACTAGTTCTAGTTGTGAATAAGTTGTCATAGCTTAGTTTTTGGAAGGCAAACTTAAGCACCTATAATTTATTTTTCTAATTCACTCAAAACTTTTCTGCTTAACATTACTTAGTTAATGATAAACTTAAATTTCAACCCAAAACTTCTAAAACAAATTGCTTAGTCTTGAAATATATTACTTTAAAATTCTAAGTGGTGCTTAAACACCATTAAATTACTGTAGACTTGTGATTCAGAACTGAGTGGAGGATGCGTTTTCTAGCCCTTCGTGTCGTGGAGACTTGCCACGTGACACTGGGCAGCCTCCACTTTCCAGAAGATGCTTTGATGTGCTGTAGGTTTCTGTCTGTAACTTCCTTGAACATAGATTTTTTAAGTTACTTGTAAATATTATACCAGTTGTTGTTAAAAGTAACTTTAAACTATACCACATAGCTTGAAAGCAACACAGAGATTTTGTAATGCTTTAAAAGTGGCCTCTACTGAACGTCCGGCTCAAACTTGCCTTCTGCCCCTTGCATGCTCACTGTGTGTGCGGGTTGCTAGCTTAACATTTGATTTGGTGTTAGTTTTTGCTTGCCAAGTTCACTTGGGCAAGCAGACTTTCCTCAGACTTCATAATATTGTTCTTTTAAAGGAAAATATGAAAATGTTTACTCTAAAAAGCTGCATTAAAGGAATGGCCTGTAAAAGGTTTTGCTGGAGTGTCTTTGGAAGGAAGGACAGAAGATCAGCTTGGGTGATGGTGGTGATAGCTTCTGTGGTCTAAAGATAGTTGATGTAAAACCTCCTGCCTCATTGAGGGAGTGAATTCTTAAACTATCCTGAATTTTTAAAATGCACAGTGAAAAGATTTGACCAACGATTTAATGTCGGCTTGTGCTTTAGTTTTTGTAAAGCATATACTTTTGCTTGAATTTCTGTGTTTGTGAGAGTTTGGGTGTTTTCTGCTTCTTGATTGAATTTTATAACATATTTAATATATTACCAGTTAAGATATAAAGTCATCTGTACATATTGAATTATAAAGCAGTTACTGAAGTAGGTGAAATAGACCAAATCCTATGACACTGGGGGGTTTCCGTATCTTCTAGAAGTCATCACAGAACAACTAGTTTATTTGCACATTTGTGGCTTCAGTTTGAAAGAAAGTAAAATGATAAGGAAGCTCTAGCAGTATAAAGTGTGTCAAGGTATTACCCTAGAATTTAATTGCAAAGCTGGTGCCTGATGGGTTTTGATCAGCTTCTCAGATTTTCTTCTCAATGATAAGACTTAATGTTTTGATTGCTTAGGGAAGGATCTTCACTTTTATTTGCCCTTTATACATTTAATCCACATGATAGGGCATTAAAAATTAATATAATGAAAAACTGTGCTCATACTGTACATCTGTTTCTGTGTTTGAACTACTTGTTAATGGTTTTTATCAAAGTCATCAGCAATAAGGGACATCACAGCTATATCATGCGTCACGGAATGGAATAATTTAGACAGCTTAAAATCTTCTAGTGTAGGACATGTAAGCTTTCCATTACTAGGTAAAAGGCATATG